GCGAAAAAGCTTCCTGTTCAGCTGGAAAATTCTTACCAAAAAGGATTTTGGACAGAATTTATGGGCAGAGTCTTTAAGTATCTGGGAGAAAAAGGCATAAGAGATGAAAAGAGCAGTGACATCAAGACCTTTTACTCCAGGAATGGTGGAGCTTTTAAGCTTTATAAGAAAGCATAAGGATAAATTTGATTATATCATTATTTCAGATTCACACTCCATATTCATAGTTTGGGTTTTACAGGCGGCCAATTTCCGTGATGTGTTTGATAAAATATTTACAAATCCAGCAGCTTTTGATAGCAATGGACATCTCATTGTGCAATGTTATCACACTCATTTTTGTTCGAAGTGCCCAAACAATCTTTGCAAAAAAGCCGTTTTGGTACAATTTCTAGGTAATCAGCTACAACAGGGAGTCAAGTATGCACGGATTGTTTATATAGGTGATGGTAGAAATAATTTCTGTCCAGTAACCTTTTTTTTTTCCATTTTCATAATGAATTTTAACCAATAACCTTTTTAAAGAAGAGTGATTTTGCCATGCCACGAGACGGGTGTTCCTTGCAGAAGATTCTCTCCAAACCACCTCAGACTTGTGATCCTGTGCTGTGGCTGTGGTAGTTTGGTCTTCAGGTCTTGAGATAATTTCTCACTTACAATTTCTAATAAAAGAGTAATCTCCCAACCATTTAAAAAAAAAAAAACACCAAAAAAGAAAAGACATCTAGATCAGAAATGATGTTAGACTTTGCCCATGACAGATATCCTGTATGTGTAAATATTAACACTTCTATAAGAATGCCCTTGTGTCAGAATCAACTCATAGCTGACCCTCCTCTGGGTTTCTGAGGCTATCAACCTCACAGGAGATGACCCATCTTTCTCCTGAGGAGCTCCTGGTGTTTTTGAACAGAGAGGCATGGCCTTAGGGTTAGCAGTGCAGCTTGCTAAGGACTCTGCCACCAGAACTCCCTAAGAAAGTTGCTAGAGATAACATATCCATCAAAGTTGCAAAATACACAATAACCAGCTGTGTTTCTATATATCAGCAATGAGCAATCTTAAAAGAATATTGTTGTTATGTACTGTCAAGTTGGAATTGACCCATAGCTGACCTTCCAGCAGGTTTTTCAGAGGCAATAAATCACATGGGAGGAGACTACCCATCTTTCTTTTATGGAACAGCTAGTGGATTTGAACCTCACGCCTATATAATTTATAATAAACCCACTGCCACTGAGTCAGTTCCAACTCATAGCATCTGTTGTTGTTGTTATGTGCCATCAAGTCACCTACCACTCAGAGTGACCCTAAGTACAACAACTCTGAAGCCTGCCCTGTCCTGAGCCAGTCTCACTGACTCTGACACACCTACCCCCATATCCCAGTTACTGTGTATCCATCTCATCCAGGGTCTTCCTCTCATGACTGTCCATGCTTCCAAGTATGATGTCCTCCAAGGACTGGTTCCTCTGCACCTATACTGAGGAATAAATTTAACCAGAGAGATTAAAGACTTGTCCACAGAAGACTAGAAAACATGACTCACAGAAATTAAAGTCTTAACAAGTAACCCACTACACCCCCAGAACTTTTAGTTAATAGTATTAAACCATTAGAATATTTTCTAAATCTGATGGTTATTTGACTCTGGGGAAGCTGGACAAAAGGTTTATAAACACTGTGGACTATGTTTTCAACTCCTCTGTAGTTATAAAATTGAGACTAAAAAGATGAATAGTCTTGGCAAACTTATCAAAAGTGATTTGGGCCACAGACATATAGGCTGTATGTAGGATTTGGAATTCTCTTATTTTCTCCCCAAGTCTGCCCTTCCTTAAGCTCGTAACAGAGTCTTGTTAATTGTACCTTTCTAGTACCATTGGAATGGGAGTCCTCTAACTTTGTCCTTTATGTTCCCTAACCGCACAACCCCAGGATTGCTTTGGCTATTCTGGATCTCTTCCATCACCATAAGAATTTTAGAATCAGCCCTTCAGATATCACCAAAAACCGTAGGGATTTGGGTTGCATTGATTTGAAGATCAGTTTGGGGCATATTGCCATTTTAACACTGTTCAATTTCTCTATCTTGCAACTATGGGATATCTTTCCACTTTTTATATTTTTCATTCAGTGAAGTTTTTAATGTCCAATGTGCAATTCTTGTATTTTTTTGTTACATTTGTTCTCAGATACATTGTTCTTTTAGGTGATATAAATGAAGTTATTTTCTTAATTTTATTTTCAGATTATTTCTACTGGATTGTAGTTGTTTTTGTTATGTGCCATCGAGTTGTTTGCGACTCATAGTGACCCTATGTACAAGAGCTCTAAACGCTATTCTATCCTGTTCCAACCTAGCCATCTCAAACGCACTTAATTCCCATCGCTCCAGTCACAGAATCAATCCATCTCATCGAAGGTCTTCCTCTCCTTTGCCGCCCCTCCACTCTGCCAAACATGATGTCACTCTCCAAGGACCAGTCCCTCCTTGCAGCATGCCCAAAGTATGTCAGACGAAGCTTCAGAATCCTTGACTCCAAGGAGCATTCCAGTTTCATCTTCTCCAGGGCAAACCTGTTTGTTCTTCTAGCAGTCCATGGTATATTCAACATTCTTCTCCAGCACCACAGCTCAAAGGCATCAATTCTCTATCAGCCCTATTCACTGTCCAACTCTCTGATGCATAGCATATAATTGCGAAGACTATAGCCCAGATCAGGCGCACCTTAGTCTCCAGCCTGACATCATTGTTCTTCAGTACTCTTGCGAGGTCCCTCCAGCCGACTTTCCCAGTGCAATTTGTCTCTTGATTTCCTGGCTGCTGTTATCGAGAGTGTTGATTGTGGAGCCAAGCAAACTAAAGCTGTTAACTCAATCTCTTCACCATCCATACTGATGCTGCCAATTGGCCCAGTGGTGAGAATCTTTGTTTTCTTGATGTTGAGCTTCAATCCATATAAGAGGCTGCAGTCCTTGACTTTCTGCAGCAAGCACTTCAGGTCCTCCTCAGTTTCAGCAAGTAGGGTTGTGTCATCTGCATAACACAGGTTGTTGATGACTCTTCCACCAATCCTGATGCCACATTCCTCTTCGTACAGCCCAGCGTCTTGGATGATCTGTTCTGCATACAGATTGAAAAGGTTTGGAGACAGAATACATCTCTGACGGATCCCCTTCTTGATTTTGAACCGTGTAGTGTCTCCTTGCTCTGTTCTGATGACTGCCTCTTGGTCCAAGTGTAGGTTTCGCATTAGCACAATCAAATGTTCTGGGATTTCCATTCTTCTTAGAGTCAGCCACAGCTTGTTGTGATCCACACAGTCAAAAGCCTTTGCATAGTCAATGAAGCACAGATAGATATTCTTCTGGTATTCTTTGCTTTCTGCCAAGATCCATCTAACATTAGCTATAACATCCCTAGTGTCATGACTTCTTCTAAATCCAGCCTGCACATCTGGCAGTTCTCTGTTGACATATTATTCCAAACGTTTTTGGATAATTTTCAGCACAGTCTTGCTTGCATGTGATATTAATGATATAGTTCGATAATTTCCACACTCTGTTGGGTCACCTTTCTTTGGAATGGGAACAAATATCGAACTTTTCCAGTTAGTTGGCCAGCTGGCTATCCTCCAGATTTCTTGGTTCAACTTAGTGAGCACATCCAGGGCAGTGTCTGTTTGTTGAAATATGTCAGTTGGGTATGCCGTCAACTCCTGGAGCCTTGTTTTTTGCCAGTTCCTTTAGAGCAACTTGAACGTCCTCCTTCATCACCATAGGCTCTTACTCATATGTCATTTCACGAAATTCTTCTGTGTCAGCCAATTCCTTCTGATACAGTGACTCTGTGTATTCCTTCTGTCTTCTTTTGATACTTACTGGATCATTTAACATTCTACCCAAAGTATCCTTAAGTATTGCCACCCATGGCTTGAATTTGTTTTTCAACTCCTTCAGCTTAAGAAATGCTGAGTGGTGAGCTCTGGTGTCCTAGTGGCAAGAAGCTGCACTGCAATCCCAGAGATGTGAGGTTTGAATCCACCAGATGCTCGGCTGAAGAAGGACGGACAATCTCTTCCTGTACCTGTCAGATCTGATTTGAACACACACACACACACACACACACACACACAGAAACGCTGAGCGAGTTTGGCCCTTTTGATTTTCTGGCTCCAGCTCTCTGCACATTTCATTATAGTATCATTCTTTGTCATCCTGGGCTGCCTTTTGAAATTTTCTGTTTAGCTCTTTGATTTCTTGGTTTCTTGCTTTAGCTTTGGCTTTTCGGTGCTCTAATGCAATCTTCAGTCTCATCTGACATCCATCTTGGACTTTTCTTCTTTTTCAGCCTTTGTAATGATTTTTTGCATTCTTATTCTTCATGGATGATTTTCTTGATGTCCTCCCAGAGCTCGTTTGGCCTCCACTCATTGGTGCTCAAGGCCTCAAACCTATTCCTGAGATAGTTTTGAAATTCGAGTGGGACTTAAGATCAAATTTTGGTTCCCATAGACTTGATTTAATTTTCCTCAACTTCAGCTTGAACTTGCATTATGAGTAGTTGGTGGTCTCTCCCTCAGTCAGCACCCGGCCTGGTTTTCACTGCTGATATTGAGCTTCTCTACCAAGTCTTTCCACAAATGTCATCTATTTGATTCCTGTGCATGCCTACAATTAATTTTTTAGATTCATTTTGTGTCCTGCATCTTCCTTAACTCATCTGCTAGCCCTATAATTTTTTTCTTTGATTCCTTGAGATTTGCTCCATGTATGTGATCATACCACTTAAAAATGAAGATACTTTTACTTTCTCCTTTCCTGTCAGGGTCCTTTTTTCATTGGCTTGCCTAATTGTCCTGGCTGAAATATTTAATTGTACATGTAGAAACTATTGAATTGGTACATGTTTTACTGTGTATATTCTCAACAATAACAATGTTTAAAGGAAAAACCCTTTATATATGTAATAAAATATAAATTCTTTCTCCCTACAGAAAATGATCCACAGTCTATTTCTCATAAACTGCTCCGGTGACATATTCTTAGAGAAGCATTGGAAGAGTGTTGTGAGCCAGTCTGTCTGTGATTATTTCTTTGAAGCTCAGGAGAAAGCTGCTGATGTTGAAAATGTACCCCCTGTCATTCCAACGCCTCACCACTACCTCATCAGTATCTACCGGGACAAGCTCTTCTTTGTGTCTGTCATACAGACAGAAGTGCCACCTCTATTTGTAATTGAGTTCCTACATCGAGTTGCTGACACATTTCAGGTCCAATATTCATCACACCTTTCAAACTTAAATTTTGTTAGATTGGGGTGGAAAGTGGATTATATGGTCACATGCTTTAGTTACTGTGTTTTTGATGTATAGTCTCTGCCTCTGTTTTTCATTTTAAATAAACATGAATTCAAAAGCCCTTTTCTCTAAAGCATGCATTGGATTCATATGGCATATGTACTTTTTACTGTTGTAGAAGAACTGAAAAATTTCCTGGTAACAGATGCTGTTTGTGTAAGCACATTCATGTCATCAGGAATTAGTGACCTCCACATACAGTTCTCTCTTTGGTCCCAAGCTGTTTTTAGTGGTCATTAATTATTTTGATATTTGGTTCTTTTCTGTTTTGTTTTGCTAAATGTACCAAGTAATTTAAAACCCATTTCTATTTTGAGACCGCTAGTCAATGAAGTTAATAGGTCACACATTCCTGTTTACTATCTAAATGTACTTTCTGGAATAATACTTAATGAAAATGCAACTCTTTATTTGGCTGAAAATAATTGAGGAATAATATATAGGGCTATTTAGGATTTTTCCCCATTTTATATATTTTCAGTATCTTAAACAGTGAGTTTTGCTAATCTAATTTTATCCTTCAGAACAAAAAGCATTTAGTAAGCCTTTCTTCATGCCTTCCCTTGTATAATATTATATACACTTCCTTAGGACTACTTTGGTGAGTGTTCAGAGGCTGCAATTAAGGATAATGTGGTCATAGTATATGAGCTCTTGGAAGAAATGTTAGATAATGGATTTCCACTAGCTACTGAATCCAACATTTTGAAAGAACTGATTAAACCACCAACAATTCTACGCTCTGTCGTCAACTCTATTACAGGTAAGATGGAAAGTATTCAGTTAGAATCTGAACAACTAAAAATTACTAAGTAATGCATTGCTCTTTATTATTATTACTCAGATAGTCCAGTTTGGGTGGAACTAAGTTATTGATAATATTAAAAGGGATTTGTATTTCTTCTTTTGCGAGAGACTAGGTCATTTTATAGAGGAAGATTTCTGCAAAATGTTATGTATCACTCCAACAATACTGTCTGCCACAGTAAACACCTCTCCAGTGCACTGGCCTAAAAAATATGGGAAGTACTCAGCTGATTTTTAGTCTCTATGCAAAACTAAGTGTCAAGAGATAGTCAGAGAGATCAGATAGAATTCTGGGCTCTTAAAATGCATACTTTGGGTAGGAAATCAGAAATAATTTTTAAAGGTAAGTAATGGTATGGTATTTTTAAATGCAAATCCATATTTCATAAGTTATAGGTAGTAACGTTGGGAAGTACATGTTATTTAAGCACAAAACCATAAAAATTAACAATCATCATAAAGGAAAAAAGGTCTAAAAACTTTACAATTTTATATCCATCTACAGATATATTTTATCTTTATTTTTGTCTTATGCTTTCTAACTTCCCAAATGAATATGCATTTACTAGTTAGAAAAGCTAATGGAGAATTAAAAAATATATTTATAAATGAGGTAAGATACTATAAATTCACAGGAATGGTTCCGTGCAAGGGTGACTATTCCTAAATTGAACTAAATGGGTGGTCCTACTAGGGTAGGATCATGAGAACCAGAATTTAGGAATAAAATAATTTAGAGCATTATTTATAGCTGGAGATAAGAGGAGAAAAACACATGAAATTAATTATACTCATGGAATGTTGTATTAATCAGTTTAATTGAAGCAAAGCCTATTTTAGATTTTATAGTGGACTGCTAGGAGAACAAACAGGTTAGTCCTGGAGAAGGTGAAGCCGAAATGCTCCTTGGAGTCAAGGATTCTGAAGCTTCATCTGACATACTTTGGGCACGCTGCAAGGAGAGACTGGTCCTTGGAGAGGGACATCATGTTTGGCAGAGTGGAGGGGCGGCGAAGGAGAGGAAGACCTTCGATGAGATGGATCAGTTCTGTGACTGGAGTGGCAGGAATGAGTGTGTTTAGATGAGATAGCTAGGTTGGCACAGGATAGAACAGCATTTAGAGCTTTTGTACATAGGGTCGCTATGAGTCGCAGTAGACTCGATGGCACATAACAACAAAAAACAGTGAGATAAAATTAAGATGGAAAGTTGAAATATAAAAGGTAAATATTTAGCTTTTATAATAAAGGCAGTAAAAACAGTCGTTTTAGACAGGAAGAAAACCTGATTAAAGAAGTGTCTAAAGCTTCTCGAAAGCATGAACACCAATCATAAGCTTACTACAAAACTATATAGTTTGTTTCCAACTATAGCATTATTAATATTTGTTTTAGTGATAGCAAAATAATTGACTTTCACCATTTTTCTGAACTTATTTTCTCTATTGGACGTGTATTAACTCTTTAAATGTACATTAAATGTTAAACTCAAGGATATGTTTTGGACCTCAGACTTACTGATGAATTTAACAAGAAATTAATCAGATTTTTTTTTATTTATTATTAATTTCAATGAAAATTTACAGAGACTTTGGATTTCCATTCATTCATTGTTGCACTTTTCTCCCCTCCCAACCCTCCCCCCGTACACAACCCTCTTGGAAAAGTAAAAGAAAAATTCTTTCATTGTTTTACAGTCCTTCCCCCCAGGTCCACTCCACTGTGCAGCCTTTGCTCTGGATTCCTGTCATGACAAAAATACCTAATCACATATGCCTTTTAAACAGTTTTCTCCCTCATCTGTTTCAATGCAGTATACGTTATTAAACCCATCTTTCTCAGTCTCCCCCCAACCCTGATGTCAGTCCTATTTTACAACAGTGGCACATGTAGTATTTGTCTTTTTTTGATTGAGATACTTCACTCAGCATAATGTCCTCCAGAGTCACCCATTTTAAATAATATTGCATGAGTTCCTTGTTTTTCAATGCAGCATAGTATTCCATTGTGTGAATATACCACAGCCTCTCTATCCATTTGTTTGTTAATGGGCACTTAGGTTGTTTCCAGCTCCTTGCTATTGTGAACAAAGGTGCGATAAACATGGGTGTGCATATATCTGCTTGGATGTCACTTAGGGTCTCTTTGGGGTATATTCCCGGTAGTAGAATTGCTGAGTCAAATGGTATCTCTGTTTGCAACTTTTTGAGAAATCGCCATACCTAGCCTTCCACCGTGGTTGCACCATTTTACACTTCCACCAACAGTGAATAAGGGTTCCAGTTTCTCCACAACCTCGCCAGCATTTGTTGCTTGCTGTTCTGATAAATTTTGCTATTCTAACTGGGGTGAGATGATATCTCATAGTTGTTTTGAAAATTAATCAGATATTGAACCTTAACCATATTACATCTGTCTGAGTGTGCTGACCTTAAAGTGGGAGAAAGCCAGAGTATGTTCCTTATTCTTTTACTCCACTGAGGCCTACTTGGCAGCGTCTCCAGCAGATTTAAGCTGAATCCCAAAGGTCCTAGTTATCACTCTGTATTCTCAGTGGAGACATTTTATCAACAGAAAGTTTTGAAACAACCAGCTTCTTTTTTCATCAGCAGCAGGATAAGATGATGATGTTTAGCTTTTGGAAGTGGGTTAAGTTACTGTTATACACAGGAAACAAAAGATAAGTTAATGAATTTAACTTAACTTGCCAGGTCAACAGAGGACTGCATAGCCTATTCCTGTCTTACAGAAATTTGATCATGTTGGTATGGATAATGTCACCATCAATTCTGAAAACCATCCACAACTTGAATAAAGTAAAATCCAAATAGCAAGGAAGCTGCTAACACATTCTTTTTTTTTCCTGTCAATGGCTTTTCTTATAAACATTTTATGTATTAACTTTTTCTTTTGGTTTGTAGGCAGCAGTAATGTTGGGGACACACTTCCCACTGGGCAGTTGTCCAACATCCCATGGCGCCGAGCAGGAGTAAAGTATACAAACAATGAAGCCTATTTTGATGTTGTTGAAGAAATAGATGCAATTATAGATAAATCAGGTAATTATGTGTATGATCTTATTTGGGGGAAAACAGTTCAGCTGACAGAAGCTGAATAGAAATTTGAAATCCTTTGGCAGTATGACATACAGAAAGGCATTCATTTTCCTATGATTTAAAATTCTGTTTATTTTGCCCAGAAGTTATATATATCATTTTCATAACCACTAGTTGAAATCTTCCAAACATCTGTAAGTGAGGTCTCATGCTTCTTGGCTGTGACCGAGTTGTTAGCACCCTGGCCATGTATGTATACATCCTGTCATTTATTAGTTACCGAAAGGAGCCTGGATGTATAATGGCCCAGCACTCAGCTGCTAACTTGATAGTTCTAACCCACCATTCAGTTCCACAGGAGAAAAGGCCTAGGGATCTGAATCCTGTAAATATTAGAGCCTAGAAAACCTGTCGGGCAATTCCACTCTGTCATATCTGTTACTGTATGTTGAAAATCTATACAAGGCTCTAAATCATATAACATCTTTTGCTCCCACTTCATTTAAAAACTTGTCCTTCTTATATTAAGTAACCTGCTCAAGGTCATACAGCATTTTGTGTTTGATGAATTATGAATTACTGCCAATAACTCTTCATTGCCCTTTCATTGTAACATTACATCTTTACAGATGTAATGACTCCTCTTTGTTCTTCAAATTCAGTACTAGCTGTCAGTCATTAAACTCTATGAAGACAAGTATTTCCTTAGAATTACTACATTTTAAAAGCTTAGGCCATGGCATTCAGCAAGTAAGTGTTCTAACTGCTCTTGGTGGATCCTCTGTCCACTGACCTGTTAATAAAGGTACAGAGTTTTCAGTAAGTCTGACACCCAAGGGGTATCTCCATTGCTCCAGATACAGTTATAACTCCAGTCAAGACCCCGATTCCATTGATCCTATCATCCTTTTGTTGCTTTCTGCAGGGTCTACAGTCTTTGCAGAAATTCAGGGGGTCATTGATGCTTGTATTAAATTGTCCGGAATGCCTGATCTTTCCCTTTCTTTTATGGTATGTTTTGCTCTCTTACTATATAACCTTTTACATGCCTATTGCATATGAAGCACTAAATGAAATTATAACTACTAAGACAAGTTTGCATCTCAGATTGCAAACTATTATCTCAGAAATATTCCTAGTATAATTGTCCAAGACAAAAGCCTGCATTATGAGCATTACCTTCATGTAAAGACTATAGAAAGCTCTTTGCCTCAGTATACTAAAAGTGGCTTAAATTGGCTGACTTAATTCTACAACTCTCCAGTAACATATTTAATGAGTAACTATTTGTAATCCATTCGTGTTTTGCATCAGTTTGGACTTGGCATGACACACTCTAAAGAACAATAGAGAATGAGCTTTGGTGCTTTTTCTGCCACTGATTTGAAGTGTAATAATCAGTACCTTAAACTCTTTGATCTTGGGGATTGTTTTTCCATTTATAAGTAGAAATATTACTTACCTTTTGCACCTCATAGTTAAATAAAATTCACATAAATTAGCATATAAAAAATGGTTCCAAACTGGAAAGGGCACAGTCATAACAAGCTTATGTGACTTAGTTTTCTTTGGGGAGTACATTTATTTGTCATAATGTCTGCATAAAGTTGCATATTTATTATACTCTGAATATGACTGTCTCATCCGATTCCCTGGCAGAACCCAAGACTTCTGGATGATGTCAGCTTCCACCCTTGCATCCGTTTCAAACGCTGGGAATCTGAAAGAGTTTTGTCATTTATCCCTCCAGATGGAAATTTCCGACTCATATCATATCGAGTCAGCTCACAAAAGTATGTTGATGCTGCAACCAGAATCCTTTATCCGTGTGCTGGGTCACCTTGCCCTGTTTCATCAGATAGTTGGGTACTTGAGCTCGTCTTTGTGCCCTTTAGCCGTGGCTTGCCAGGAGAACAAGGGAATACTGGTGAAAGTACATAGTCTAATCAGTACCCCTTGAATCTAAGAGTACAGAGTCTTAGTTTCAAAATCTTAGATTCTAAATGGGTCTGTATTGAAATCCAGAGCTGAGAGAAACATTTAGATTGTGCAGAACCATGAATCTGTGACATAATTAAACTGTGGCTTACAGTGGAAGACAGACCTACCTACAGTTCCCCAGGACATCTCCCAAATAACCAGCTTCAAGTCTCCTCTGCATTGAGTTAAATGATTGATTTTGTGTTTTCATGATTGGTCCAACTGACAATAGGAGAACATACTTGGGTAACATCAGAACAGGGAAAAGAATGATTTCTAACTTGACTTGTGTACTTGTAGCTCAGAAATCATTTTGTCTCCAGAAAAATTATACTACTGTGCTATACTGAGCTCCCTCTTGTGTAGCTGGTGAATCTGCAATTCAGGAGGTACAGGGTCCTACATGTGGATTTAAAAGACAGGGTACTGTAGACTCAGGTTTGCAGGACACCTCCAGAGCTATCTCACACTATTAATTGTATATTTTGGTGCTTTTGTGTCTTTCTTTTTAGTCTAGTGGCAATTCCAGTGTATGTGAAACATAACATCAGCTTTAAGGAAAACAGTTCTTGTGGCCGATTTGACATTACAATTGGACCAAAGCAGAACATGGGAAAAACTATTGAAGGAATCACAGTAACTGTTCACATGCCAAAAGTTGTACTGAACATGAACCTGACACCAACACAAGGCAGCTATACATTTGATCCAGTCACCAAGGTACAGCCACTTCAGATCAGGAGTGAGCAAGTGTTTCTGCAAATCTTTGTTTTGTGACTTTGGGGTGGAAAGCACAGGAAAGTCTTCTTTAAATCTAAACCAAATCAAATTGTCAAATCTGGAGATCACTGTGGAAGGAATCCTACACCCCACCTCCTTGAAAATAATCCTCCACGTAACCATTCGTAATGCAGGGACTCATACCACCACTAAATGAGAAAGAAAATATAAAAGTTTTTTAGAAAAGAAAAGCAGTAATTGGCTTTAAGAAGCTATCACTTTTATTGTTGTTCTGTACCCTGGAGTTGGCTTCAACTCATAACAATGAAACGCTGCCCGATCCTTTGCAATCGTCACAGTCCCATGATTGAAGCCACTATTGCAGTCGCTGTTGTCAGTCCCTCTTCATGAGGTTGGCTTCATTTTCACTGACAGTCTACGTTACTAAGCGTTGTATCTTTCTCCAAGGATTGGCTCCTCCTGGTAACATACTCAAAGTACATGAAGTAAACTCTCACCGTCCTGATGTCTAAGTTGTTGTCTGGCTGCACTTTCTCAAACACATTTATTTGTTCTCTTATGTGTGGAATAGTCCATATTCCTCACCATCACCACAATTCAAAGGCATTAATTCTTCACTTTTCTTTATCTGTTTTTCAACTTTTGCATGCATATGAGGCAACTGAAAATACTATGGCTTGGATTTAAAAGCTATCACAATGTTGTTGTTGTTGTTGTTGTTATGTGCCATCGAGTCGCTTGTGACTCATAGCAACCCTGTGTACAACAGCCCTAAACCCTTCTCTATTCCTGTGCCAATCTCACTGCCTCTGACACACCCATCCCGATTACCCCAGTCACTGAATCAGTCCACTTCATAAGAGGGTCTTCCCCTCCTGCGCCATCCCTCCACCCTCCCAAGCATAGGAGGATCTGTCCCTCCTTACAACATATCCAAAGTATGTCAGACAAAGCCCCAGAATCCTTGCCTCTAAGGAGCAGCCTGGTTTAACTCTCTCCAGGATGAATCTGTTTTCTTGGCAGTCCATGGTATATTCAGTACTCTTCTCCAGCACCACAGCTCAAAGGCATCAATTCTCCTTCTATCCTCCCTAGTCATTGTCCAACTCTGATGCATAACAAGTGATTGCAAAGACCATGGCCTATATCAGACGCACCTTAGTCTCCAGAGAGACACCATTGCTCTTCAGTACTTTGGAGAGGTCCCTAACAGCAGACTTTCCCATCGCAACATGTCTTTTAATTTCCTGGCTGCTGGTGCCGAGAGTGTTGACTGAGGAGCTAAGCAAACTAAAGCTGTTAACAATGTCAATCTCGTCACAATCCATCCTGATGCTGCCAATTGGTCCAGTGGTGAGAATCTGTCTTCTTAACATTAAGCCTCAATCAGTATTGGAGGCTGCAGTCCTTGACCCTCGGCAGTAAGCACTTCAGGTCCTCCTCAGTTTCAGCAAGGAGAGTTCTGTCATCTGCATAATAATCATTCTTAATTTTTCTATGGAAAGTTACCAATAAAACCTCATGTATAAGACAATTTCATACTATTTCAGTCTTTGTTGAGAAAGCAGATTTTCTAATCCTGTGTTAAGTGCCTAATGGAGATTTTTTGGACAGCTATAAAAGATTATTTTCCTTTGCCATCCTGGTGTATTAAAAATATTATTCTTTCCAATAGCAGAGCCATTGAATTGCTTGCTAAATTAAAAGACTAATCTTTGAGTAAAATCATAGCCTCTTACAGAAAAACTATCTAAACCCTAAAAATTTGAATAGTCTCCCCAGAGATCAAACAGGGCTGAGAGGTGAAGAGGATGCTCCAGGCCTTTTAATAGTGTCACCATCTGTTACTGAGTTTTCACACTTACCGTTAATCATTTGAATAAAGGGTTCTCTCGCTAAAAATATTTTTTAAGAACCACTGATCTAAGCCGTTCTTCTAAATATAACATTAAAACCAGAGTAGAGAAACTAATGGTGGTGGGATAATGGAGGGAAAGTTTCAGCCTTGGGTTCAGATGTCATCCGTCTCTAGGTCACACAATACCAGGGAGACCTTGAGCCAGTCTTTTGGTATCCATGGGCCTTAGTTTCTCTTTTGTAAGAAAACAAACTCTACCTCACCGATTTCTGTGAGATAATGTACAATTCTTTCTCCAGCAGTAGATGCTGAACATTGATTCTTAATTTTCCTTTCCCACTAAAGGTCGCACAGCTAATCATTGTGAAACTCAGTATAGCGCCCTGAACTCTCATGGGCTTCTTTTTTTTTTTTTAAACATAAATTTATGATGTTACCACCTTATTTTTGAACATTTGTCTTTAATTAGTGGTCTATAATGGGTTTTGTTTTATAATTTCTTTTTAAGGTATTAACATGGGATGTGGGGAAGATTACTCCACAAAAGCTCCCAAGTCTTAAAGGACTGGTGAATTTGCAGTCAGGAGCACCCAAGCCAGAAGAGAATCCAAGCCTCAACATACAGTTCAAGATCCAGCAGCTTGCTATTTCAGGTGAGGACACATCACTTGTTTGTGTAAAGAGTAGCTGGATTTTGCTGAGCTCAGTTATTAGGAGCTTACAGCAGTGGGCTTGGGTGTGTCTAATTGTGAGTCTGGCACAAACAGGACAGGGTTCAAATCTCTTGTTCATAGAGTCATTATGAGTTGTACTCGACGGCACCTAACAATAAAAAAAGTAACATTCCTTTTTCAGGAAGAAAAACAGCCTGGTTTGACTTTTATATAATGCTATAGTTCCCTGACTCCCACTCTCATTAAAATATCAAAAAGGGATTTGCTCATTCTCCGAGAAAAGTGAAATTACCCTTAAGACAGCCTGCTCAGTTGAGAGTCTTAAAACTATCCCCTAAACAATGCCTTAAGGTGTGAACAGTAGAGAAACACTGGTGAATATCAAGAGATTGAATACATTGGGCTCACTGCTAAACAAGTATTCACTGATGTGATCAGAAAATAGTAATTTATTCCTTTTCTTGCCTTTTTGACGCAGGCTTAAAAGTAAACCGCTTGGACATGTATGGGGAGAAATATAAGCCATTTAAAGGAGTCAAATATGTCACGAAAGCTGGAAAGTTCCAAGTGAGGACATGAGAAGAGGCCAAGATTCAAGATTAGTTTGTTTTCAAAATGTCATTACAATATACTACTACTAGGTACCAAGTGGGTGGGAATACATATTCTAGTTGAAGCATTTATGTCAAGCCACACACTCCTAACAAGTAGCTTAGTATTCAGTGTAGGGATCTTAAGGAGCTTTAAGCTAAGTAAATGTTTCTAATGACTTAGCTTATTTTGTATATTTTCATTAAGGAAGATTCTGGAGATGATTTTCTCCACAGGGTGTTAATTGGCTGGATGTTGCCCACTGTAACAGTAATGGCTGACGCCTACAGTGATAATCTCCAAAGACAAGACCTCAGCTAGCAGGAGCTGTCTTAAACCTGTGATGTAATGTGTTGGGTGCAGCCAATGTCATACTTTGTGATCTTGCCCATCTCAAATCAACATCTGTCCCAACAGAGGAAGATCCTCCTACCCCACCCTGAGAAGTTTACAGAAAACTGCCTCTTCAAGTGTTTGCCTTATTCAGCTCTTCACTCGTGCCATTAAGCAAGCACTGTAGCAAAAGCCAGTTCCACATGGCCCTGGCAGGGAGCGCTGCTGCTCCATGCTCCACTCACTGTACTTGGTATTGTATTTTTTTATAAATAAGTTTTTTATGTAAAAGTCAAATTTGATTTACAGGGACCTTGCTGCAGTAAATACCATCTCAATTTTGTGCCACTAGTTCAGTCATTAGCGAGCACAGTAAAAAATCATTGGCTTAAAGGCATGAATGGTTTATTTAGGTAATAAAAGGGAACACTACTTCTGCTTTTAGGAAGTTAGTGCAAGCACAAGCATATGAGTTCTTAAGCAAATTAGTGGAAGAACATAAGCTGAAACCTGCTGCCATCTTCCTTTTTTGTAAAGCTTATTCAACAAGATTTAAACCATAGTTAGCCTAATTGTCTCATGCCCAACATTAGCAAAAGGAGAGAAGTATGCCTGTCTCACTGTCTTCAAATTGGTTTTGATATTTCACCTTTTTGGTGGTTACCTTTTAAGAGCTTGAACTTAACTATGTACCTTGTCTTTAGAGGGGAATTTTTTTCACATTGTGGTTCTCACAATCTCAGTAGATTACTATTCAGATTCTTCCCTGAAACCATTGTAATGGTTTCCTGATTAAGTAGATGGAATCCACATTAACATTGATTTTACCCTTGTGATCACAGTTTTGGCGGGCAGCTTAAGGTTGAACTATCATGTCACGTAACCTTAGTGGTGTGAAAGTCTTTATCAAGTTACTTTGCTGCAGTAGACAAATGGAAATAGGCAAAAGCTGAGATAGTGTTTATTCTTAATGTTTCCTTCTTGTTCTTACTTGAGTTTCTTCTCTTTGGCTCCATTCTTATTCCCAGCTAAGAAGGGCCCTTCTTACACTCTCCCATTTCTGCTGTCAAGGGCTAGTGGTTGGTGCTGATGCAGGAATCCCCCATTCAGCATCATTCTTACCTTTACCTGCCTAGGGCACCCAGCTCTCATCTAATACAATAAAAGGCCAGTTTTTGCAACTTCTAAATTTCTAGGGTAACTAGTTGCAGAGTGGCAATTAAACCCAAGATGATACCAAATTTATGTCTCCTTTTTCCTGAAATGGTTACCCGGTTCAACTACATCATTTAACTGCCTTCCTCCTCAGCGTCCTTAATTTAAAATAACAGAACATGTGCTTTTCCTTTTAGAATCCCTAATCTCAACTATCCCATCTCTGGACTATTCAGCTTTTTCAATGTTGTTTGCTCTTCCACATAAGCAGATTGTGTGCCAAGAGTCCCTTGTCTCTAGAGATTTCTGTCCCAAGTAGACTTTCCTTTTACTAAATTACTGTGTTTATTAACTTGATACAATCCAGTAAATCCTTTCTCTTAGCTCTGGCTATACTGTCAATAAAAAGATGAAAGCAACAGTGACTTTTTAAAATTTGTTTTTAGCTTGATTGTTAATTGAGCAGTCTCAGATGGATGGCTCAGAGCAGGCTGACAATGATCAGATTTGATTCCTTATGAACACAAGCCGTGAAGACAGTGCTTCCAAGTGTTCCTGTCCTAATTCAGTATATTAACACCATGTATGCTTTCTTCTAAGCATCACTCTCATGGGCACAGACCTTGAGCATGAAATGGTCAAAGCTGTCACCTCTTAAAAATAACAGAGAACTATATATACTTACTAGTAGTGGAAGCTCAGAGTTCAAGCTGATTGCAGAATAGCCCCTTTCAATTAGAAAAAAAGAAATTTATTTTTAAATTCATATGGGAGTATATCCCAAGAGCATATAAAGGGAATCCTCATTATTGACAGGAGGGAGTTACATCTGATGGAACTGAAGTGAAACCAAACCATGGAAGATGCTGCTCTTACTCATTAGGGCTGATTTGGAGAAAAGCGCTAAACTTCAAGGTGGCAGGAAGGTAGCTCCAGTGAACATGCAGCAACTGACAAAACGAGGCTATGAATACTGTTTTTAGAGACAGTGGAGTCTGGACATTGCCCTTTAACTTGGACTGCCTACGGTCTGCCTCTGACCAGCAACTTTGAAAGTTACAGCAGTGATAAATGCCATCAGCAGCAATGATACCTGCCCCTTTCAGCCCTAAGGAAAAATACGTATTAAAACACAATGATACTCTCAATAACTACAAAAAAACAACACAGTGATGCTCAGCTCTACTCCCAAGAGCTCTTCTGTGTTAGTGCTTCCTCAGGCAAAAAAGCAGCAGCCCAAAAGCTAGTTCAGCCTTAGTCCTGGCAGCCTCTGCACAACCATATTCCTATCCTGGGTTTCAGAATATATTTTTACATGAGCCTACAGTTGTTCCTGCAACAGCGTAAGGAATAGTGATGATGTCCACCACAAGCTAGACTCTTCTGAGAGGAAAGCAGATTACCGTTACTGCAGGGGGAGGTGCGAAGGGGGTGGAGATCACATCACTGCCCCTCCTGTTAACCTTTTCACTCCTAGTATCTGGTTCTTTTTCAACACTGCTGCTTTCTGGTTCTTCCCATGCAACATTTTTATGAAATAAAAATCTTTCGATTCTTGAGCTTAAGAATTAGTTTCATTTGGCTCCTTTTTTTAAAAGGAAAAGAAATCTGACAAAGGTTTTAGCTAGAATAACATACACATCATTTAAAGTGTTATTTATACAAATGTACTTTATTGTTTTTTAAACAGAACAAAAGAGGCAGAAAATATTTGTTTATAACAAATTTTAGCTTATAAATGTAATTTTTAGGGGTGAATTCTCTAATCATTATTTAGGGATTTAGGTTGCTTTTTGTTCCTTTGCTTCACTGTATTTTGAGTATTGATATTGCAAAAATTACATCCAGCATGAAGTACAAATCAGTGACTCAAAACACTGGAAGAACTCGGAGAGCAAACGTGACTGCTTATTTCTTCTAAGTCTTCTTTAGTAAAATAAAAAGTGATCTTTGGCATAGATTCATACTTTAAAGGCATTAATATTGCATTTATATCAGGTAAGCAACTATACAGGTATGCCGAGGACCTTGAAAATAATATTTATCAGTAAAAGAAATAGTCTGAGTGTGCAGGACGCACTGAAAATGGTTCACACAGTGGATCATGGGGGTGGGAGGGAAGGATAGTCAGGCAAGGGTTTGTATGCCTCTGCTCATCTCGTGGATTTGGAAGAAGCACGTTCTTTCATGTGCTGCAGACTGCTTATACAGCGATGGTAAGTGCAAAAGAAAAAAATCCCTGCCTCTCACTCTACCTAATAGAAAACTTCATACAGGGATAATGAAACATTATACCCTTTACTCTCAAAACAGTCACACCTGTGGAGGGGGATTAAGGGTTTGGTTGTAGTTAGCTAAAGGAGAGTATGAATTCCAGGAGTTTTCCCTACTGGTTCACGCAAATCCCCAGCAGCCCACACTTCCATTCTACAGTGACCACTCTCCTTTAGGTAGGAAGCAGTCCTTCAGACATTCCATGAAATACTCTTGAAGGGAAGCACCAATTCATAGGGCTGAATTTCAAAAGGAAATTCAAAATCCTAGAAGAACATGTATCTTTATAAAACATTGTTTAGGAAAGGTGGGGGGGGAAACTGGAAAAGCCAGGATAGAGACATGATTTGGTTATAAAAAAAAAAATCAATGCAGCATTTCAGCTCAAAAGAACATTTAAGAGCTTAGAATGAGTGATAAGGCATCAGCACGAGAGCTCTGCAGGCAGTGATGAGTGCAGGGCATTTGAGGTGGCCCTTCGGGACAACCACACTCCGGCAGCAGAGAGCACCAGCACACAGTGTTCCTCCAGTGGCCACCTGCATGGGCCAGGGCAGGAAACGGTGGCAAGAGTCCCTAGCATGGACATTGCTCTGGGTGTGCTGAGGACAGAGTAATGTGACTGTTATTTCTCCCAACAGAATGAAAATTTAGTATTGCTGGAAACAAATTGAGAAGGGCAGAAAATAAACCCAGCCCCCTACACACACTGGGCTCCTCAAAGGGGCACCTCTCCTGCAGCTGGAATCCAGCACACAGCCCAGGGAGGGCGGGCAGGGTCAGCAGCAGCGTGAAAGGCCCAAAACAACTTTCGGAGGCACAGTGATTTCCTTTTTAACTGATTGGCCACGGCCTGGGTCTGAGGAGCTGAGAGGAGAAAATGAGGCAGGGCACAGGCTGCAAAGGTTTCTCCCAAGAAACTGTCCCCAAGGCGACAGGCAGGGTGCCTGGCTAGTGTTCACTTTTGGATTCTGAGCTTGTGTGAATTCCATGGGCTGGGGTCTTGCCTATTAGGATAGAGTGTGCACAAATAGAATTGTTTGAGAATACAAGTTTGATAATGGAGACCATTTCAAAACATCATCCAAGACAAAAGAATAAAATGTTTTCCTAATGTGAAGAGGCCTCCAGGTTCTGATTTGACAGGCCAGGATGTGGCTTTCAGCCCCAGCAATGTTGGGTAGCTCCTGGGACTCAGATAATGTCCCTCTGTTTAGCAGGGGTTTGTTTCTATGCCGGTCAGGTTGAGCCCAAGGCCTACTGATACCAGGGAGTCTTTCTGACCCAGCGCAGTGTAAATCCAGCATCTGTTCGGATTTTGATTGAAGCTGCTTCTGCCTCTCGCACAGTCTCCTTCACAGACTGCATAAGGTTCTGGGCATTGTGAACCAGCATCTCTGTGGCCTACAAGGACAGAAGAGCTTGACATTATGCACAATCCTTACTGTAGTTCACTCCCTAAACAGGTGCCACCAGGGACTTAACCCCATTTGGACTTCTGGCATTAATGATGATTATCTGGATCACTAGGAAGAATCCAAAACAGGATCCCATGCTGTCTGCTGTGCCTAGAGCATGTACTCACTCCTTCCTGGTCTTCAGACACCTTAACCCCAGCACCCCTATTCTTGTTCCCTTTACCTGGAATGCCCTTCCTCCAGGTATCCCATGGCATTTCTCACTTCCTTCCAACTACAGGTTACGTGCCACATTGGCGAGGCCTTGCTCTGTTCACCTTATTTCAAATTGCTAATCCCCCAATCCTCCAGTTTTTTTCTTCTCTACAGATATTTTTTGGCCTTTGGTTTTTTTTGTTTCCACACTAACATTTATACTGGACAAAAGCAGAGATTTTTGTCCATTTTGCCCACTACTTTGCCCTTAGCATTTAGTGCAGTACCTGGTATATAACTAGTTAATAATTAAACAAACAAATGAGAATCAGCCAAGTAACAAACAGACCTCCTTATTTTAAACAAAACTAAATTTCATATAAGGAGCTCTGGTGGCCTAGTGGTAATAAGCTGCACTGCAATCCCAAAGGTGTGGGGTTTGAATCCACCAGCTGCTCCAAAGAAGGAAAGGCAGTCTCTTCCTATGCAATTAGCTGCCTCTGAAAACCCACTGTAAGGTCAACTATAAGTTGGTTCTGGATCAATGCAAACAATCACAACAACAAATTTCTGATAAATTTACAGGACTAGCCATCACACTGACATTCCACCATAAAAAGAGAATGTGGCAACTTTTAGCCAACTAATTCTTAACTACTTTTGAGTCACAGACTCAGAATTTTATTAAGGCTCAGAACTCTCTACATTTACAAGATCTGTATGTGCAATTTAAAAGGGTTCGCAGACTGAGTTTGAACTATCTCTGGGCTATAATTCCTGGTCACTTAATCTCTTAACTTAGTTTACGTGGATGTAGAGGCCCAGAGAGGTTCAAAGACTTGCAGAAACCGTTGTCCCACTCTGCCACCTTGCCACATTCCAGTCTTCTTTACTTTAGAACACTGTTGAGAATACTTTTTAAATGACAATGTCTGATCTCTAACGTAATAATCCTTCCTTCTCCATTTTCCCACGTCCCTCTCTTAAAGTAGAAGAGATCACATGCTAGAATTTCAGACCAGTGCCTAAACACTGCCTCAAAATGCATGGAAATCAGGGGTAAAGGTTCTGTTTCCAGGTTTGGAAGAAGAGAAGGTTGGGTAAGAGCTTGTAGATTAGAACTTGGTGGTGAAAGCTGCAGCAATATCAGAGAAGGGGCCTCCCCGTCTTCTCTAGAGTTCCCTTATTTTTATCCCTGCCTATACCTCAAAATTGATCTACCAGACAGCATGTGAGTTCCTCGAGGGGAAGAATTGTGTCTCTTCATTTTTTATAATTCCTGTAACACCGAACATAGCAGCTCATTTATACGCCATGGCTAATAAACCTTGTCTGGGCAGTCCCACCAAAGATTGCATTGAGGGTCTTTGGTTCAAAGCAGGACATACCAAAGAGGTAAGAAAGAACAGGAAAGTGAGGGTTCTCTCAAAGACCTGGTCAACATTTCCAAGGGGAAAAGAACATAATCTGAAAGAAGTGGCAGTCAAGATACACTCAGGGCCTCAGAGTCTTCCTACCACCCTTCATTCCCTATCCGAGAAACCTGAAGGGTATTCCACAGAAAGATGCCCTCTGAGTTATAACCTTGGCACGAGACCTTCCTTGTGGTGGGGGCACCCCTAATACACTCGTACTGTCCATCCTCCTGAGCACACCTCACCAGAGAACTGGATGGGAAACAAATCTTTCCAGCCAGCAAGATAGCATATGGGGATCAGTAGGCAGCAGGGACCTCAAGATAGTCCAGCCTACCCAGGAGGCAAAGAACTGTGTGCTCAGAGCCCTAACTCTGTCACTGGTTCAGTGTTACTTCAGAAACAACCTCTCTCGACCTCAATTTCCAATCTGAAAAATGATAGAAGTTACATAAGAGTTTCGTAATTCCAAACGTCTGATGCATCTCTCCTGAGAGAGCACAGCATCCATCTCACCTACAGAATAAACAATCCCTTTATAAAAGTTCCCTAAAGTGGAATTACAGTGCCACAAAATACCTGCTCTGATTCCTCATCGCTGATGTTGGTCCGGCCCAGCATGGTGGCCTTCACCGTGGACAGGATCTTGAGCTGGGTACTGATGGTGGGAATTCGCTCGCATACCTGAGAAGAGAGTTCAGTCTGGTATTCTCTGCCTTGTCCACAGGCTCGGTAAATTAAAAGCAGGGGTTTACTCCCAAGGTTAGCACAGTCCCTTTGTTTAAAGTGAGCATTCCTAGGGGAGCTCTAGTGGGCTAGTGGCAAGGAGCTGCAACTACAATCCCAGTGGCGCACGGTTCAAATCCACCAGATGCTCTGCCGGGGAAGGAGATCTCCTCCTGCACCAGTCAGATCTGATTTGATGGTACACTCACACAAAAATTTTTTAAAAAAAAAAGTGAGCATTTCCTTTCATTAAATTAGGAAATAGTCTTTGAACTTGTTCAAATACACAAGTGTATTTCCCTTGCTGCTAGTTCTTTCTCCTCTGAAGCCCCTCCTCACCCCACCCAGGTTTCTCTCCTGCTTTTCTTCCTCCTGTATCTCCCTCCTCACCACCCACTCACTCATACAAACACACAGAGAACTTCTTTTCCCCGTTACCTGTAAGAGGTTTGTTCTAATACGCTTATCTGTGCACTGCTTGGCAACTTCCTTAGCCAACCGAGTCACCTCATCCGAGGCCTTGGCGATGTCCTTGGCACATTGGATCAGTGCCCGCTTAGTGCCACTGCCCCCTCTCACCAGCCGAGACATTTCAGCCATCAGCAGAGCCATACGCTTGGCTGCCGCAATGATGTCATTGCCCTAGGGAGAAGCAGAGACACAGTGTGACACTCAGCCCACCTTCTGGTCAACTGAGGGAAGAAGCAGGAACAGAGCAGAGACAGGGGAGCCTGCCGCACTCACAGCCCTTTAGAAGAATGAGAAGAGGTCAGACACTATTCTTGAATCATATGGAGACAGACAAAGAGAAAAGGATGAGCCAGGGCACTCTCCTTAGGTAGAGAGAAATACCGCCAGACCTGGATAACTAGTCTAAAAGGGAAGGTACTTTCCAGGCACAGTACTGAGCAAGCACTTGAACTTCTCCAAGTTAATCATGCCAATGAAATGGGGGCAGGACCAAGGAGTTGGTTAAACAGGCATTTTCATTTCTATAGGGGAAAGCCGTAGAGCCTGCCTGCAGAAGGACCCCTGCATCCCCACCTCTCCCTGTTGAACCAGAATTGAAAACCTCAAGTGCCTATTACAGCCTGGGTGACAGGCAAAAGGAAAAAAAAACTATCATTCTCCAAGTCTTTGCTGGTCCCACCACTGCTGCCTCTTCTCTGTCTTGTTAGCCTGAAGGAACGAGTTTTTTTTCATATTTAAAAAGACCAAGAATTAATTCTTCAGCCGCCTCAGCTAAGTGAATCATCCATTTAAATGAAACTGGCTAGGAGGGTATCAGAGGAGTTCTCCACAGGAAACAAGATCTAACTACTGGCCATTTACCTTTGACTTTGCATCCTGGCTCTTTAAGACCATCATGGGACGGACAAACCAAAGCAATATGAGTCATTTACGCCCTTATAATGCTTACATTTTGGCTGATAAGCGCAAAATAGAAATGACTGCAGAGTTAGGTAAGGCAGCATTCAAAACTACCTACAAAACCAGGCCCTACCCCTTTCCCCCTCGTGCTTTTCAATTTCTGTGAGATACAGTGAGGCATGCACACAACATGCCACCCCAGGGCTCAGTGAGAGGTCTCCACAAGCACCACTGAGACCCCCAACAAGCGCTGCTGACGCTGGAGGTGGGTGGGTGACAGGCGTGGGAAGAAGTCACGCGGTAAGGGGAGGTGTTAGAGAAGGCCCCTGACTCCTCGCCTCTAGAGCAGACCACAGGCGATTCCAGGACAACCTTGGTTAGAAGGCAGGACAGTGCCAGGTTAGTGATTGCTCATTGCTCTTTAAACCCTTTCTTCTTGCAACAAGCCACCTTCTAAGGGGAAAAAAGTTAACCCTACTACATCTCCAAACTAGCTGAGGTTCACTCGGTCCTCAAGGCCTAAGCTCTGTTCCTGCCACCCTGCAGCCCCAAACCATTCTCCATTCCTGACTCCCACCCCCCACAACTGAACTCCCTGGACAAGGAGTCAGTGACGGCCCATCCCTGCCACATAGCAGGGACCCCATCAAGGCCAAGTGCAGGGCAGCAGGCAGCCCTCCTGGAGACCCTGCCACATCAAGCTGCTTGTCACCGGGATGTCTTCTCCCTTTGAGCTGTTGGGGAAGTCAGCAGGGGGCAGGCAAAGCTCAAGGGTGAGGCCGGATCTCCTGAATGGACTTTCGTGCTTCCTAATCTGCAAGTCATTGACAGGCTCTACCATGGCTTCCCAAGGGGTTCAAGTTCCAAAGTGATCACAAGGTTGATAAGAAATCCTTTCAAAAATAACTCATTTCCCCAGCCCCCGAACATAAATGCAATTCAATCAATCTGGCATTAGCAGACCTATCAAACTTGTGAAGCCAGTCTTAACAAGGTGCAGACAGACAGATGCCCACCCTGCCCAGACTCACAGGACCCGCACAGACCATGAGTGATGCAAGGTGTCAAGGCTGCACATGGCCGGATGCATTTGGAGCAGCCCCCGCCAGGGGCGCTCGTCAGTACCTTACTAGACCACTTGGTGGCTTCCCGATGCAATGACTGAGCCGCCGCCAGAATGGGCTGGTTGACCGGCTGATTGGATGGCATTAGCAGCAGCTCAGGTTCATAATCATCTTCCATGTCAGGGGGGACAGGGAACCCAGCAGCATCACCAACACCTATACCCACCTCAGCAGCTGGGTGACCCGGCTTTGTCGATGGTGAGAGGGTGAGAAACAGGGACAGTGTTAGTAAGAACAGTAGGGGTTGGAAACTGAGCTTTGGCTGGTTTAGTAACCTAAGCTTGGCTGGGATGGGAAAGAACATGGCATACTCTCCAGAAATGAGATGAACCAAGCTCCACAGAGCAGCGAACAGTCAGCCTTTTAACTCTGTAGTAAATGAGGCAGAAGATCCCATTCAGTGGCAAAAGGTTTCCAAAGGACTACTGCCATCAAAAAAGGATGTGGTATTCCTTTCATTTATTTTTCTTTTAAATATACTTAATATCAAGGTTTGGCTTGCCAAGAGTAATGCTCCTACGAGGACATTTTTGTGGAACCAAATCATGTAGATAATAGTTGCTAAGTAGCTTTAAAAGGAATCCAGACAACAAATAGATAAATAAATGCAGCCACACAAGCCAATCAAGTGGCGTGATCTGTTGAAGGTAAGACACAGTAAACTGCACTAGTCAGCTCTGTGGTGACTGGACACAGTACTGTGAAGAGCTGAAAATCCCAGAATTTTTTAAAAAATTATACACAGGAGGTAATATTAAACCAGACAAAAGGCAGGAAAGCAAACAAAGGAGGTGAAGAGGACCTTATCAAGTACCCCTCAATCACCCTGGAAGGAACCTCGTCAACACCCTCTTTCCAGCCTCCCTTCTAAAAGAGAAATTACTCTCTCCCTTTAAGGCTTTCTGACACAAAGCTTATTCCACAATTTCTTATTCTTAACTGCACACATTGCTAGTCCCATCTCAGAAAGTTTCCCCTCCTTCGGTACAGTCTAAATCACACCTGTTGCAAAATAAGTTCTCAATCACCTTAAACTTATCTAGTTCACATATTAGAAAACACGTAGGCTGGTACCTGACCTGACTGCGGATATTTCAGAGCTCAGAGATGCCCTGAGAGGAGCCCACACTACTACACAATGAGAGCAGGACCAGGGATGCGGGTTCTGAAAGATCCGAGGAGGCAGAGGGGTCTTTACTGGAAATAGGTCCGAATACAGAGAAACTACATGTAACCTCATCAGTGACAGTGAAGTCCAACCACCCACATGAAGAATAGTGAGCAACGAGCACAGGTATTTCCTTAACAAACATCTCCGACCAAGAGGAAGCAGGTGTCCAGACAAAATTTTATTTGAGACCGTAGTCATGTCTAAAGTTCTCATCCTGCGTAAGAAGCTTGTCTCTAAAGGGCAATGATAAAGTGGGGAGACTAGAGAGATTCAAGACCAATAATGAGTTCAGTTACCATCAGAACCCTTTCCACCAAACTCTTATCTTAATCAAGGTTCATCTCTACTCCTCAGAGGAGAGAGGAGGAGCCCACTGCAACTGGAGTTCAGAGTCCCAAAGCATTAGACAGCAGACTGACAGATACACAAGTATACAGCACAGACATGGTGCTCAAACAGCTCCTGACATCACAGCTCGAGGCCTGGTGCTCTAAAACCTAAGGGCGTCATACCTGAACGCTTCTGGCCACCAATGGCCGCAGGTGGGGTTAATGTGTAACCCAGCCCCACTGGCCCCTTGTAAAACCTATTCTCTTCAAAAATCCATACATAATGCAATTTATTTTTTTTTTTAATTTTTGCATGAAACGAATCTTCCTTTTCACATTCCTCTACACCCCATGACCACGAGGACTTGACCACATGGTCTCAGGTGTGTGCACACCCAAGTTAGAGAGATACCATTGGACGTCATTCCACAGGTCAAGTCCAACACCAGCAAGGTTTCCATATCCTTCTTAGAACCCAGGTGCACAGCTGGGTTCCGGAAATAATTCAGGAAAACACAAAGTTAAAAACCAAGGTCCATTTCCAGCCCGGAAAACTCCAAGAACAGCTGCCTGTGTAGAGATCCTGGAGGGACTGCAGTCATTACAAGAGTTTGAGGAGACAGAGGGTGTGAAAAAAATAAAGTAAGATAAACATGGAAACAGAGATGTAAAATCCTATTAGCAAGAATTCAGAGTCCAGTTAGGACTACATTTCCCTGAAAGTTAACAATACCGAGCTCTTGTCTAGAATGGCTACCACTCATTTTTCATCGTTTTGGAGAATTTAAGTAAAAGTTTATTGACAGGGCCTGAAAGATGCAGCATTTTTATCAGCCACAGTAATATTTACACATTCAAATCTGCTCAGCTGGAATTAGCCCAGAGTGATCTTGAGTTGAAAGGTAAGATAATTCTGAAAAAGGATAAAGCATGTAGCTTGAAGGTACCAATTTCCCTGCTTCTGTGAGAAAAAAAAACCAGAAGGAAAATGCAAACATTTCATCAAACTCTATCAGAGCCCAAGAACGACAGTTTCATGTCTGTTGCTCTGACACTTATTCAAGAAAGATCATTTTTTAGACTATTCCAATGTCCAGGACAGGGCAGCAGACACTACAATAGACAAAGTAGGAAAGGAATCTTTCTTTTTAAACCACAGATATCCTACCTCTCACCTCCATGCTAGAAGAAATTATCAAGCATTAGAAACCACTGCAAACAGGAACCATGGCAGACAGAGGGGGTGACTTTCCAAACAGGCCGCTAGACCTGTACTGTGGCCATGGTTCGCAATTCTTGCTTAAGGACACCCTTTCTTTCACCTTTAAGGAGAGCTTCACTCCTTACCTTGCTGGACCATTTGCGAGCTTCATCATGGAGCTGCCTGGCAGCCATCATCATTGGCTGGTTAATGGCTTCCCCAGCTTTCTGCTCGGGAAATTCTTCATCTTTCTCCTCTGGCGGCGGGGGCCTGGGTGGAGGGACCTCACCTTCAGGCAGAGGTGGTTTGGGAGGAGCGAGCTCATCTGTTAGCTAAGAAAGAGAATCACTCAATTAGGACAAAGACTTAGGAACTATTTTCCCCTAGAAACCACGCCAGAAAAGCTACCACTGTCACTCTATGTGAAACTGTGAACACTGAGCCACAAGGAGCGACACTGCATGTTTCCTCCCTACTTCCCCTGTGAAAAACCAGCAGCTACCACTGCAGCCATCCATATCCCAGGGAAGCATGCTCAGTACTGTGGATCAACAACAAATGAAGAGCCAGAGGAGACCTACATTAGGGCCCTGTTTGGCTGGAAGAACACAGGGGACAGGTGAGTGACTTCTACCTTAAAACCTAGGTTCCTTGTCTGTCAGTAAGTAGGTAGCATGGATGATTGCGGAGATCTTCATTCTGATGCCGTGATTACTCATGGCCTAAGATCAAATGTTCCCCAGAAATACCTGCTTTCCCAGCCTTAACCACCACCAAGAGAACATAAATGTTAGAGGCTAGGGAAGCACTGTTCCCTGCACAGTGATGCAATTTTTGCACTAACTCATCTTATAAATTTACATCTCTTGCTGACATTAAATATAGGAGAAAAAATAAATTATTACCTTCATGCGGCTATTGCCACGCTCCAGGAATTTCCAGCACTGTTTGCTGAAGCAAATGTCTAAAAATAATCTCTATTTCTGTATCTAGGAATTATAGCTGCAAGCTACTGCTCAGCCTCCTAAGCCGTTTGACTAGGAAACAACTTATTCTTGGTACTTTGGAGGGAACAAAAGATTTTACACTATAAATATGGCAAAAAACAAGGTTTGGGAGTTTTTTCATAAAATAAGCACATATTACTATGGTTATTTTTTACAATAACATGTCAATTGAAGGAAAGAACCTGAACAAGATTTTAACTATGTCAGTTTTATCACTGTCAGCTCCCTCTGCATTATGCAGGGTATCATCTCACTCCTCATTAACTGCCCACTGAGTCATCACACGTCACGTCCACGCTTATCAAGGCTCCTCCACTCCAGCCACTCCACACCTAGCAGGCCAGCTATGCAGACACCCTCCCCCAACCTATCCAGCAGACCCCAGGAGTGAGTTAGGCCTCCACTAGGTGTGAGAGGGATTATCTTGTTCTGCCTCCATGTAAAGTGTCAGGTGAAAGGACAATAAAAGCCACCTCGTGACTCTGTCTCCACAAAAGTCCACTTCTCACTAACCAAAGCGCCACCACCGGCAGGTTCCATCCTCCCCATCTGCCTCAATTTACTTACACGGAGCTGTTCAAGGTCTGGAGGAGGAGGTGGGAAGTCAGGCTCCTGAGGCTGGAAGGCTTCTCTGACCTTGGCCACAGCTCCCAGGATCCGATAGCCCGAGTCCAGGAAGCTCTTCTGTAGGCCTGAACACGAGACCGCCTCATTTTAGCTGGGCAGGTCAGTGCTCTGGGGCACTGTCTGTCCAGCAGAAGAATGGGTTCCATTAACAAAAGTGGGATGTAGAGCTGCCAGTAAACATCTCAGCAAGTGAGTGAAGGAGAAGGGGTGACTCAGGCAAGCACATGCCCTGAAATATGCAAAGAGCTGGAAGCTTCACGAGCCAGCTGCTCCCTCAGTGCTCAGGGTGCCTTCTTGCTGGTCAACCTAAGATGTGTTCAGTCAACCCCCGATGATCTTTGGGCTCAGGTGGCACCCTCCATCTCCTGTGATGTGGGAGGAGTCCACAGATAAGCCTGTGCCGCTCACAGAACTGGAGATGCCAGGTTCCCACTGGAAGCACTTCTCACTTTTCTCCTGTTCCTTTGCTCTGCTTTTCTTTCAGCATGCTAACAAACTCCTACACTGAGCTGTCCCTGGGATTCAGGAATCCACTCAGATCATTAGCAATTCCAGTTGGGAAACAGACCATGTCCTTAGTGATGATGGGTCAAGAGGATTAGAAAGATCGAAATCAATGTATTAACATTTTGTAAATTAAACTAGTTTGTTTTGGGTTGGTTTTGGATTTTTGTTTTGTTTTGTTTTTTTTAAAAAAAGAGTATTAGAAGGAAACCAGCTGGGCAGGGGTGACTAGGACAGCCATTTCTTCCTGCTCCCTCATGGGGGCTGGAGTCTACTTATAAACAAAGCCAGAAACACTGGGGGGCCTGGAATAGGAGAGGATTCAGATGCTTCAGACAAGACAGGGATGTGGTTCCAATGACAGTCACTTAAGTGACAGCTAAGGAGAGCTGGTGGTGCAGTGGATTAGGCAATGGGCTGCCAACTGAAAAGCTGATGGTTCAAATCCTCCAGCTGCTCTAAAGGAGAAAAATGGGGCCACGTGATTCTGGAAAGAAGTCTCACTATGGAAACTTTTCGGGAGAGTTCTTCTCAGCCCAATTAAGTTACTATGAATCAGAATGAACTCAATGTCAGTAGTACAGGATCAAAAAAATCATCAAAATGTATCTATAGCCTTCTCCTCCATATTTCCTTTCAAGGAGAGATGTCTATGTAACTTTCTAATAAATCTATCCTTTTTTAAAAAAAATCTATCTATAGAAAACATGACCAAAATCCATCTAAAGAAAATTTTGAAAAGTCATCTCTTTGTAACCTTCCACTAAAATCACAATTTAAAAAATAAATAAATAAAGAGAGAAAAAAGAAAACTCAATTCACTGATGTGGGACAGATATCTAAGAGACTTCTCAGGCCAAGCTTCAGCCTTCCAGATTTGACAGAAATAGTTTTATGGGAAGGAGACATTTTAAGAAAAGCACAAGAGGAGTTATGGCCATTATAGAAGAAGCCATGGTAGTAGGGATATAAGCTACACAGTTGGTAAATGGGTTATGAGTCTTTGGAGAAATTTCCAAAAGAATTATTTAATAGGACCAGGAGCTGGTTGTATTAGCCAAACATTAAGAAAACACAGAAAATTTCGTCCTGAGAAACTTAAAACAAGCTTGCCAATACTGCAGAGATCTAGGGGAGAGGGAAAAACATTAACCTAGCTCTCTCCAAAAAGCTTACAGGTCCTGCTCCCAGACTTTCTGTGTCATGATTGTGGGGTGCAGATCCCCCAGCTACTCTGTCCTAAGGCGCCCTCTCAGCTGAAGTGAGGGAAAACAGGCATCACTTACCAGGGTCAGAAATATTGCCAGCGACGGCCTTTGCATCCATCACCATCGGGGAGATGGTTTTGCTCAGCTCATCAGACGCAGCTTTCACAGCCTCGCGGAACTTGGGGTCCTCTGAATTCTCCACTTCTCGCTTGGCCACCAGCAGGATCCGGTTGGCCCGACGAGCGATGCTGGTAGCCCCAGCAACCAGCATCTGAGGCTGAATGTTGGCCATGGCCACTTTACACTTGTCCAGGTCCTTTTTAATGGCTTCTTCAGAAGCATCCAACAGAGATTTGGTATCGATGGCTTCGTCCACCAGCCCTGACAGAAGGACAGAAATGAAATGCGTTTTCTATTTTACTAGAAGATAGCCTCCAAAATCCTGCTGGTCGCTCAAATTTCCCATGTGAAGGAACAACAGACACCTTCACCTCAATGCTTCTCCTCCAGTACAACCCAAAGCTTCCAGGTAAATAGCAAATCAAATCAAAAGTTAGGCTGCAGCTCAAAAGCCATAAAGACTCAGCATTATGCCAGCTGTGGCCCCCTGTCGGCTGGCCCTCACCACAGACCACCAGAAGCACAATGGCATCAGGAGGAGACAAGGATTGCGTCTGAAACCTTTACTGCCTTATCTGTTCATAACATTTTCTCATGCCCATCTCACTCTCAGCCACCTGGTGCTTGTTGGCAGCGCACAGCGTCCAAGATGGGCCCGCAGGGGACTCTGGTCACCCTGCCAGCCTGCTTCTTGTCTCTGTTACCTCTCTTCAGCCACCTCGGGAGCTCCACTTTCATCTCTGGCTGGAGGGACCCCTGTCACCGCGGAGTGGGCAGGGACTCTGCATCCCTGGATCCTGCCTTTCTCTGCTGTCCCTCCCTCCACAAACCAAGTTGGTACCGCTTCAACTGCACAGACGCAGGTTTGTGGGCGGATGGCTGCTGCTTCTTTTTTTCTTTAAAACGACATAGTTGACAAGTTGGAGGGAACTCTGGGGCAAGTTGTATTAAATGGTAGCTATTGTGGTTCCTTGAAATGTGAACCAGCTGACAATGACAGGGACACCTACTGTATCCACAGACAGGGCCTCCCAGTGCCTGAAACCAAACTCTGGTGTGGCCGAAGCAGAGGCACTGTTCAAAGAGGAGATAGGGGCTGGGACAATGAGCACCCCACTAGGAGGGCAGCATGAAAAGAAAAGGGGCTCAGAGAGCCACTCTGCGGACAGAGCTGCAAGGCTTGAATGCGAGGCCGCCGCTGCTCCACAGCCTTAATCAGGGCCAAGAACACGGCAAGCATGTGACCGGCCCTTGATCCCATTACAGCGGGTAACAGGAGCCAGCTTGGGCCTCTCAGCACTCGCCCCGGTGGATCAGGCAATGGGAACTTTGCATAACACTCTACCTGTCATTTTTTCCACATTATCAATCCACTGGTTCTTCATAGTCTCAAAATGCTCGTAAGCGGCTTGGTTTCCAGGGTTCCGAAGTAAGATGCGAGCAGCTGAGACGACCTGGCAATGGCAAAAGCATCTTCAACCTTTAGGGCACCCACGGCCAGCACAAACCTTAGGGAGCCCGTTCCCCTTCTTTACCAACAGATGGCGCCAGAGAGCCAAGTCAGAGGACACAAGCAAGTCTCTGTTCAGGCTGAACTTAAAAACCGCCTTGACACACATCCTAAGTCTGGGCTTATAAGGAGATCCAGAGAGTGGCTTCAGAGCCACAGTCTAATGTTTAAGAAGGTAATTTAAAAAGTGGCAAAGTAAATAGGCATTCACTTGATTATTTTATAAAAACATACACAAACGGACACATATGAAACTCCTGGAATCCACATTCCACCATTCAGAAAGATGCACAAATTACTCAAACGGATTTGTGAATGATACAACAAAAACACTGTCTAGAGTTAACTGCTTTCATATTCACTATCTTATTGCATCTTCTCAAACTCGTGAGAGAGACTTTTCACTTTACAGATGCAAAGACTGAGATGTACTAAAGTGACTTGCTTCAAACTTCCCAGCTAGTTCAGGTGGAAAGAAGTAACATTTACTGAGTATCTAATAAATTACAGGCACAATGTGACTACATGCATTTTATTAACACTCACAACAATCTATTAGAGAGGGATTAGTCCCACTTTACAGATGAGGAAACTAAGTCCCAAGGTCACAAAGAACTCAAACCCAGAAATCTCCAAGCTCCATATTCCTTCCATACTTGGTGTCCTGAACCTAGTTTTCTATTCCTCTTTTTCAGGAATCTGAGTTTTTATATAGAAATCCCATGTTAGTGAAAAACTTATTCATATTGTCTGGAAATTTTAAAAGAAAGTGAGATATTCAAAGGGATGTGTAATTATTCAAGGGACTCTGTTAACTAACATTCCACAAAGGCAAAATGCTGCAAGATTACAAGATGTACTTATGTCCCCTTAGAAGCCCATGTGGAATCATAATATACTATGTGCTGGGTTGAGTGGATTGAGTCCACCAGCTACTTTTCAGAAGGAAGATGAGGCAGCCATTTCCCCTAAAGACCCCAAGTTGCCAGAAGAACTAGTAGCACAGATTTGTAAGTCTTACACAGTTCGTAATGTACCATAAGTGCTCAATAATTATCTACTGAATAAATGAATGAAAAAGTAAGCAACAGACTTCTATACTCTGAACTAAAAAAACTCTCACAGTAAATGACCTCAAGTTGATATTTTTAAAAACACCTGGGTGAACTACCATCTTTGTCCAATTTACTTTCCCTATGTTTCAGTACATTTTTCATAGCATACTAAAAATATTTTGCTCATAAAGTAGAAAAAACAAGTTTTAGATAAAGTAAATTTAAAAAAAAATCATATCTAGGGAAGCTATCAGCTCTAAAATAAAAATATATTGTCCTTTCAAGATAATCACATACTGTCCTAAGTATGTGTATATATCTGCATATTCTTCCTATTTTTAAAAAAATTATATGCTCATAGTAAAAATTACAAAAATATGTAAAGTAAAAGACCCTCTATAATTCTAACCCTACAGATGACTAATTCTAACATTATAGATAGGTGTGGACTAGTTAATGGTATTTTATAGCAAGTGTTAAAAAAATATATATATAAACGGTTCTTTATTAGTTTTTTAAAAAAAAAAAGAACCCACAATACTATGTGATGAGTACAGTATTTGGTTCTGTTGTTTACTGGTTACTATAAGTTAGCTGACTCAAAGACACCTAAGAACAGTAACAGCATCAAATGAAGATGAGTAAAAAAGCAAACCTGGGGTGTGAGCTCTCGTGCTGTCTTCACCGACGCCTGAATGCCCTCCACTGTGGATTTATTTGCAGTCCCAACGGCGGCCGCCTTCTCAGCAGTGGCACCAAGTCTACCTGAATGGTTTTCGAAGTTAGCTGCCCTCTCATCAAATACCTTGAAGTAAAAAAATCAAAAGACATCAAAGACATTTACTTTAGTAAAACAGCCAGGAAGCCCAAGAAAAGTTCTCTGTTATGCAGAAGCAGGACTACCCAAGTAAGACTTTAGGGATATCAATTCTAGCAACCACCAGGCAGGACCACGGTGTTGTCCCGATGTATCCTCAAAGGTTTGACCATGGACAGATACATGCAGTGTATATACATATATGTATACAAGCATATACATTTACTTGAATCTTACTTTAACTAGTGCCTACCAGGTGTTGGAAGGAAATATAGCACTACGTATTGTTGTCATTGTTGTTGTTATGTGCCATCAAGTCGTTTGCGACTCATAGCGACCCTATGTACAACAGCCCTAAACCCTGCTCTATCCTGTTCCAATCGTATTGCCTCTGACACACCCATGCTGATTACCCCACTGAATCAATCCACCTCATAGAGGGTCTTCCCTTCCTGCGCTGTCCCTCTACCCTACCAACCATGATGTCCCTCTCCAAGGACTGGTCTCTCCTCACAACATGTCCAAAGTATGTCAGATAAAGCCCCAGAATCCTTGCCTCCAAGGAGTAGCCTGGTTTAACCCTATGCAGGAGGAATCTGTTTGTTTTCTTGACAGTCCATGGTACATTCAATACTCTTCTCAAGCACCACAGCTCAAAGACATCAATTCTCCTTCTATCCTCCCTAGTCATTGTCCAACTCTCTGATGCATAACAAGTGATTGCAAAGACCATGGCCTGT